TTCAGTTATAACAAAAATCCGCTAAGAAATAGTAAAATCCTCTAGCAAATAAAAATAGACAACTATATAGATAAGAAAAGTTCTTCTAATCTTAGAAAAATCTCGCATACATCAGTAAAATCCATAAGGAACATCCTTTAGTTATAAGAAAAATCCGCTAAGAAATAGAAAAATCCTGATAAAGATAAAAATGGGTACCTATCATAAAGCGACGAATACAGTATTTGATTTAATAGAGATACAGAACGCGTACTTTTTGATAAGTTACTAAGATCCTTCTATTTGCTGAAGGACATTTGGTAAAATGGACATTTTATGGATGTTTGACAGCCCTCAATGGGTCATAGTTAAAAGAATATAATCGAAGTTTTAGAAATTCAGCAGAACTGTATTTCTCTATATTATAAAATGACACATGAGAAATTCCACTGAAACTACTATTTAATCCTGGTATATAAATATATTCTTCTGAATATAAAGTTTCTCTTTCGAAATAAATTAAACTTATCTCCTAGGTGCAACAACGGATTCCACTTCGACATTATCTTCATTATTCGATGCTATAAAACGTCAATTATGGACAGATTTTATTGATAATTCATTGTTACCATATTATTCCATAATTCCATCAGTATTATCAACATCAGTTGTTAATCATTTATCTACTTCATCAATTCAAACATCAACATGGCTTATTCAATCATTATTTGATACATATTTAACAAGTGAATTTCTTAATTCTGAACAATCACGTGCATTATATATTTGTTCAAAATATGTTCCATTAAATTTCATAATTATTCGTTTATTAACAAATACAAATACATCTGATGGAATTTATGAAACAGGTCGTGCACTTTATTTTATATTTGGTTTAATTTTATGTCGAAGACGTTCCTCAACACGTTGTTTATTAGAACAAGCTTTACCTTATTTATTTAATTTAAAATCTAATGAATTTATGCTTGAACCAAATGTTTATAGTACAAGTTTAATTATGATTATACTTTTGACACTTGAATTCAATCAAAATAATGATCAATTAGAAGATTTATTTCATGTTAAATCATGGAAAGAATTCAATTCAATCAATAAAATTATACTAAAATATGAAGATACAAGTGTTACTGATGCTTATCATTCATTATTGAATCAAACATCTGAAGAACTTTTTTCAAATGAAACACTTAAACCTGTGAATTATTTTTTTGGTTGGTTTCAAACAATTCTTTGGATGTTCAGTCGACAAGTTAAATTATTAAAACCATTTGTTAAACCAAAATTAGTAAGATAAATATATATATAATTCTTTCTTTATATCAGCTTCGTTTTTCATTTAAAATAGATTACTCAATTATCGGAATATTTACCATTACAATTTCCAATTGAAAAAGTTCTTAGTATATTAGAATTATCAAATAATATGGAACTTGAATATGCTTCAATGGTAATAACACGTGATTTTAATCGTTTACAAACATTACATAGACGAACAACGACAACATTTATACATAACGAACAGATTGTGATAAATGATATAGATTTAATAATTACAGCAGCAAAAAATATAACAAAAAATATTTATTCAATACCAACAGATCTTTAAATATATTTCCAATAAAAGAAATCCAGTGTAAATTGTTTTCATGTAAAATTTTATGTAAATTTATTTGAGCAACTTAGATAAAATTAACTCTCGATTTTTATATTCATTGTTTATTAAATAAACGTATCGTTATTATTGTATATTTCGTACGGAAAATATTTTGTTCTTGTATAATTTTATTGTTTTTTACTGAATGAACTCTGAAATGAGATAAAAATGGGATTCCAGAATTTCGCCAGTGTCATTATGTGATTACACTATATTGAAGTTAGAGTTGACGAAAACTCACAGTACTTACGGCAAGTAACGCCTGAAATTTGGCGAAGAGGCACTAAGCCATAAAAATAGCCTGAAGCATTTGCTGCTTCGAAGATTATTTATAGGATTAGAAAAGTAAAGCTCATAAAAATATGGAATGATCATTTGATCGGATTTTATTCTTATATTATGTATCTGTAAAATTTTTAATTATTTGAATACAAAAAAATATATTTTATTAATGATTTCTAAGACAAGAAATACGTACCTAGATATTATCTATGCAAATCTTGTAAGTTTAATGCTTAATTTAATTTAGTATTTTAAATTTGGGTTGTTTATTAATTATTCATTTTAGTAAAGATGATTTTTCTTAAAATTCATAATGTGATTCTTTTGTTCTTTTCTTCAATAGAAATCTGTGTTCATTTTCCTAACACATATTATCATGTTAAGAGAAAAAGAAAAGGGATGAACGCACATCCTTACCTTTTTCATGACAAGAAGAAAAAGAACAATTCTATGGTAACGTCATCATCGTCTTAATTTCCTTCTTTTTTTTCCTAAGAACTAATCTAAGCAACAAAAATTGCGCATTCGACTAGTGATAATGACGGAAAGCGAAGTACAACAAACAAACACGCCAAACAGCAAAATAAAGGTTATATTCAAAGATTCATTTATTTTCCTTCATATAATTTGTATTTTTCTTGTATAGAAATTTCGAAAACGTATATTTCATCCTATAACAAAAAAGAATAAAGATGAACAACAAACAAGTCTTTTACAAGAAAAAAAGAACAAAACTGAGAAACCTATTCGAAATGAAGATTATGAAGCGTAAATTTGAAAACTATTTATTTTGTTTTCATTATATAAAAAACTAAAAATAATATTTTTACAATTCTTAGAACTGGTTTCGTTATTGATCCACAAGATCATCTCTATCAATATTGGCTTGGAATTATTTCACTTGCTATCTCGTATAATTTTCTTTTAATACCAGCTCGTTATGCATTTACTGAACTTGATAAAAACTATCGATATATTTGGATTTCATTAGATTATATATCTGATTTTATTTATTTAATCGATATTTTTCTACAATCGAGAACAGGTAAGAAAAAAAAGAAAATGAGTTCTTAATTTGTATAAATTTTTTTCCAGGTTATTTTAGTCATGGTCTTTTTGTTCGTAATCATCATGTATTACAACGTAATTATTTTTTATCACGACAATTTTTTGCATATGATCTTCTATCTATCATACCAACGGATTTTTTATATTTCATTCCGAGCTTTCGTTTCGTTTCAATTATTCGTTCGAATAGATTTATAAGAGTTAATCGACTTTCACAATTTCAAGAATTAACAGAATCACGTACGAGATTTCCCAATGCATTTCGAATTGGCGTACTTAGTTGTTTAACATTAACATTGATTCATTGGTAAGATCTTTTCTTTTCCAAATAAAGAATCTTTTTTGTTTCTTGTTAGGAATTGTTGTGCTTATTTTCTTATTTGTGAACATTTGGGTTTTGGCAGTGATGAATGGGTATTACCAGCTTCGGCTCATAATGAAACAGTTGCAATGCTTTATACTTATTGTTTTTATTGGTCAACACTTTTATTAAGTACAATCGGAGATGTTCCATTACCTGTTACAAGATCAGAATATCTATTTGTATTGTTTGATTATATGATTGGTATGTACATATACAGAATATATAACAAAAAAGATTAGTCTTCAGATTTCATAGTAATTTTAGTCAGATAATATTTCATTACACGTTATTTAAAACCCCTGATAGAAAAAATACTGAAACCTTTAAAAATTGAATATAATGATTATTAATATTGAATGAATTTATGTTGTATTCAATAGTTATGAGTTCAGAGTATATTTTAATGATACCTTATTTATACTATGTGTAATATATAAATGCACAATTAAATATTATACATCTTCAGAGAAAATATTTATTTACTAAGAAATACGAGGGTGTGGGTATTAATTAAAGCTCACACCCTTACAATTTTAGAAATAAAGAAAATATTATTTATATATAGGTATACTTATATTTGCCACTATTATTGGTAATCTTGGTACAATGATATCAACTCAAAATCAATCGCGTATAAAAAAAATATATTACAGAATATTTTTGTATATATTTTTTTCTCTCTATAGGACAGCAAGTTCGTGAAAAAATGGATGAAATAAAACGTTATATGAAATTTCGTTCAGTTAATCGAAAACTTGAATCAAAAGTTATAAAATGGCTTGATTATTTATATATGAATCGACAAGTATTAAATGAAGAAATGGTTTTAAATTCTGATTTAAGTGGAGAATTACGTAAAGATCTTGCTATTAAAGTACATTTAGAGTCATTACAACAAGTTAAATTATTTAATGATTGTGAACCAAATTTACTTGTTGAACTTGTAAAAAATAAAATTAATTTTTTGTAAAATAATTAATTGATGATTTCTTTATTTTAGGTAACAAAATTAAAACCAACATTTTTTTGGTCCAGGAGATTATGTTTGTCGAAAAGGTGATATTGGAAAAGAAATGTATATTATTAAACGTGGACAATTAGGTGTGGTTAGTGATGATGGAAAAACAACATTTGTTGTACTTAAAGAAGGTGCTGTATTTGGTGAAATATCAATTTTAAATATTCCAGGTAAATTTTTATCCGAGAGAAAAAGATAAATATATATATATATATATGATTTTTTAAGGTTCAAAAAATGGTTCTCGTCGTACAGCGAATGTAAAATCTTTAGGTTATTCTGATTTATATACATTACAAAAAGATGATTTATGGCTTGTACTTGATAATTATCCTGAATCATTAGCAAAAATAATTGAAAAAGGTAAATCAATATTACGTAAAGATAATCTTCTTGATGAAACATTAACCGATAAAAAACGACATATTGAACAAGATCAATTATTAAGTGTACAAAATCGTATTAAAAAATTAAATGATATTGATCAATCATTAAATGATCGTGTTACAAAATTTCTAAATACATATGTTGATTCGGTTAGATTATTTAAACAACAATTATCAAAATTAGAATATCATTATGGAGCAAGAAAACCAAGTATATCAATAACATCGAGTGTTCCATCATCAACACCAGCACTTCCATTTTTTGCTAATCAATGGAAACAACAAAGTGCAAGTAATATACTTAAATATCGAAGTTCATCATTTTTAGATGTTGATTAATGATAAAAACTCTAATATTTCGATGTTGTATTTTTTTTTCTTCATTGTTGTCAAATATTCTTTTGTTTAATAAAATTTATCTAATATGTGTAATGATCTATTGGTAAAGTTGTAATAGTATTTCAGATAGAGATTTTCTGTTGAATTGTGCTAATAGCTTTATGATATCAAAATTAAGAAAAATCTGTGAAGTGAGAATGAGGTTGATGAGTTTCAAATGGATCGTTCTATTTCGGAACCCTCATCTGAGAGTTATAACTCAAATTTAAACATTTTAAAATTATTTTCACAATTATGCGGTGATAACAACTATCAATTTTATACTTGTATATTCATTCGCCATTGAACAAGATAAAAATGTATTTAAGAAAAATCTTAATGTAATATTTTTGATTAAGATTTACTCTATTTATTTTAATAGATTAAGTACTATTCGATTGAAAAAAAAGTATTCGTCTAAAAAATATTATTGTCACGAAAGTAAACATCTTTGTTTGAGTTATAGATGAACGTGATAAGTACTTTGATATACGCCATCTGTAATTTCTGGTTTGTGATTCGTCAATCATGCTACTCAACGTACGATGAGTAGTACTATGAAAAATAAACAAAATTCCATTCTGTTCATTGTTATAGAACTAATCTTGAAACATATCAACATATGAATAAATTAGTAGTCATTAGATTTTGTTACTTTATCGAATCATAATATCTTAAAGATGATATCGAATCATTGAACATTCAATCTTATGACAAAGAATTGACGTAAAGTAAACATTAACTACTAATCAGCAATAGTTTTAGATTCTTTTCTCTATTTTTTCTAACTAAAAGTTTACCACTACAATAGAATGAATAATTGTAATTTATATTATTTTAGATATTTTGTAATTTTATTTTTCTTTAATTGAAAAATGCTCAAATCACATTTTACATCAACAGTAAACACACGACCAGATGGTGAACTATGTAGAAATGCTTGTGGTTTTTATGGAAATAAAATATGGGATGGATTTTGTAGTAAATGTTATCGAGAAGTTTACCAACAAGCCAAACAAATACAAGAAGCATATGATGGAATAGTAAAGTAAGAAGATTTATGAGTTTAGACCTTTTTTTCCTGACATGATTTATAAGAATAATCAATTGTTAAATACCTATTCAAAGATAAACTATAAGAAAGCAAGATACGGATGAAAACACACAATAAATGATCGAGAACATATTATATTAAAAGAAATTATTTGTCTTTCGTAAATAAAAGTCGACAGGTAAAATCTATCTATCAGAATGATCACAAATTGTTATCCTAACATAAATAGATTTTATTTTTATGATTACATATATCATAATTTTAGTACATCAACATCTGATTCTACTCCACCATCATCTCCAATATCTTCAAATTCCAATGAAAAACGTCGGTCAAATATTAGTATGCGGAATCCAATTCGACAAATGGTTCATCGAGCTGGTAGTCTTCGATGTATGTTAAGATAATATTTTTTTTTCCTCTTCAAAAATTCTACTTTTTTTTTTAGCAACAAGTAATTCTGTAATATCAGCTTTATTGAATGAACAACAAACACTTGAAAATGAAGCGGCAAGTAAACATTTAGATCTAATGACAACAGATGATGCACGTATTGATATAAAATCTCAAGTAAAAACATTTGCAAATAATTTCCAGAAAAAATGTTCCAATAAAAATATTCATATTGATACACTTATACAAGATTATGGAGCATTTAAAGATACAATTAAAAAACGTATACAAACAAATTCAATTTATCGAGGTAAAAGAAAATATTTGTTATTTTTTGTTTTAATTAAAATTATATTATTAGATGAGAGTGAAGATTTAATTCATCGTGTTCGAGATTATGTTGAGAAAATAATCTTTTCAAAAAATTATTCATTAATATTTAATCGTATTGCAACTGAATGTGAAGAACAAGATTTATCTATACAAAATCGAATATCATCTCTTCATTGGGTAACACCAACAATGTTAGATGCTGTTCTCAATGAAAATACTTCCAATGTTGGAGAAACACTTTATAAAGCAATCAATGGTAAATAAAACATTCATTATTCCTTTTCTAGGAATAAACAATTTTAAATCACATCTATAAATATCACATTAATGTACTTAAATATCTTCCCTCTAAAAATGAACAATATACTATTTACACTCAGGAGCATTAATTCGTAGAACATTCCTTTGATAGCCAAACCTCTCTAGTTATATAAATGAGACGAGTTAGAATTTACTTGTAATTCGGATCGAATAAATTTTTTTTGTTTAGCTTTAATTGAATTGGATTCAAAAACAACTCCGCAAGGAAAAATACTTTCAATTATGGAATGTAAATTATTTATTGAAGAAGCTTTACGTACATGTAGTGGCATAACAATAAATGCTGATTGTTTTCTTCCGGCACTTATCTATGTTGTATTAAAAGCGAAACCGCCAAGATTACATTCCAATATAGAATTTTTAAGTCAATTTTCTCAACCAAGTGGTGAACAACTTTATTATTTAGCTAATCTTGTATGTTTATAAGGAAAAATAGAATGAATCTGTAATATATATATGAACTATTTTAGGATTCGGCCGTTCGTTTTATTGAACTCTTACAAGCGGAACATCTTGGTTTATCATCAAATGATTTTTCTCTATATATGCGTGGTGAACCAATATTACCATCAAGATTTGTTCCTCTCTTTGATTATCCATTAGAAAATAATTCCAGCATTGAACAATTAAGAAAAGTGACTATAGATTTTTATGAAGTAGAACATCATTGTGGAAAAGTTGATGAAAATATTCAAGATTTTAAGAAGCGTTTAACACAATTAGTAACAGATACAAATGAATTATTAAATGGTTCATATAAACGTTATTCATATTTTGAACAAATTCCACAATTAGCTAATATTGATACAATAGATCAATCAATAATAGAAAAAAATCAGCATTTATCTGAACAACAACAAGAAGAAACAAAAACTGATCCATCAGACATCTAGCATTTAATTGATTGAATTTCCGGTGTTTTTTTTTAATTCGAACAGTGCATATATACATATATTTATCTGTATATCTTTTTTTGTCATTTATTCAAATTATCTATTTTATGTCTCGTTCTTTCAATGTAGTAATAAATATGATAGAAGAGAAGTTTACCTTCACAATTTTTTCGTATATCGTAAAATATATAAAACTTGTACAGAGCTAATATTCTAACCAACAAATTATTTGTTTTTCAAGTATGTGTACATACATTGCTTTTGTTTTGTCCATTCTAATTACATAGCTCATATTTCAAAATTCTATTCTTAAAGGAAATTTGATCTTTTCTATCATTTTTCAATCATTTCTATAACAAAAGTAATTCTATATAAACAGTGATTTCTTTCATTTAATGATTTTAATTTCTACATAAAACTACAATGTATTATTTCATTCATTATACAACATTATTTATATTAGTTTGTTCATTTTATCAAACTGATAATTTTCTACTTAAAAATCGTATATCAAAAATTAAAATTGGTTCGTTTAATTTACGACGATATTCTTTGGCGAAAGCTACACCAACAAATTCAGTTAATTTACATATATCAAAAATTCTTAAACGATATGATCTTGTTTTTCTTCAAGAAATAATTGATGCATCAAATGATAATCGTGTTATTAATCATCTTTTAAATCATCTTCATAAACAATCGAAATCAATAAAATATGAAGCTATTATTTCATCACCACTTGGTTTAACATCATATAAAGAACGTTTAGTATATTTATATCGTAAAAAATCTTCTCATATTCAAATACTTTCATCTTATGTTTATAATGGATCCGTAAGTAAAATGTTTGAACGTCCACCATTTATTCTTCATATAAAATTATCATCATTTGGACAAATTATATTTATTGGTGTTCATCTTAAACCAGATAATGTTTATAATGAATTTCGTTTTTTACGAACAGTTATTGATGAATTCAAAGAACAATCATCATCAATTATTTTATTAGGTGATTTTAATGCTGATTGTTCCTATTTAAATAATGCAAAAAAGAAAGAAATAAGAACATCGTATTTCAATGAATTTCAATGGTTAATTGATGATCGAACAGAAACAAATTTACTTCAATCATGTTCATATGATAGAATCTTAGTTTCATCAGGTATAAATCATTGGAAAAAAGTCAATTGGAAAGCAAAAACAAATGGAACATTTGAATTTGATAAAAAATTTAAATTAACTAAACAATTAGCCTTACAAATTAGTGATCATTATCCAATTGAAGTTGATATTTATTAAAACGATAATAATACACTTAGATTTATATATCATAGGTTGCTTCAATAAAATAAAAAATTTGATTATTAAGTATAGTTATTAATATTAATGAGAGAATAATATATTTTTCATCATACTATTTTATAGACATGAATTATTATTCGTATCAATGAGGAAAAATTTTTACTATCATCATTCAGTAATAAAATGTATTTTTGAGAATATACGAGAAAAAAAAGAATTTTAAACACTAGAAAGAAGAAAAAGGTGCTTGTGATATGGCGCAAAACTAAATGGTAGCAAATATTTTTAATGGCCTTCTAACATCTTTAAAAAGGACAAGAAGTAAAATCATCGTTGTCAGACATCTCCTCTCTAGTATAATTTAAGCAAACAAAAACTCTTTTAAATGTTAGAAAATAAAAAATGATGATAGTTTAAATCAAAGCAGGATATATTGATTTATTTTAAAAATAAATTGAACAAAAAATAAAATGTATATATGTATATAATTGATTATTTTTCTTTTTTTTTTTTGAATAAATATAGGATATATATAGGAATGTGTCTTTTGAAAGAAAAGTTTGTTTTGTGCAGATTTTTAATTATTATTTTTATTTTCTGATTGAATTAATTCGTTTGTTGAACCTGAACTTGTTGGACGAGCTTGTTTACTTTTTAATTGTTCTTGTAATTGATGTGTCCAACTAGTCATTGTATCAAGTGGACGTTTTGCTTTTAATGCTGTATCATTTTGTTGAACGATATCAACAGCGTAAACACGTTTATCATCTAATTCTTTTTCTTTTTGTTTTGCTAGAACAACAGCAGCAAATGATTGAATAAGTGCATTATTTGGTGTTGTATGTTGATCAGGTGAATGATATCCATTATATTGAGGATTTGATGGAGTTTCAGTACGTACATGTTCAGGATCCCATACTGTATTCATAACATGATAATTAACTCCTTTTACCGTTTTATTAGGCATTGAACTTCGGTTTGCTTCTGCATCTTGTTCATTCATAGGTGAATTAGAATTTTTTACACGATTATCATCATCATTATCATCATCTTCATCATATGAACAACATTTAAAACGATACCATGGACATCCAATAGTAGATGCAATATCATCCCATGGTAGATCTGATAATGTTAAAAGTACAACTAAACCACAAACAAAACCAAGTACCGACCAAAATGCAGCATGACGTTGTCCTTGTGTTGGATCTACTTTTGCTAAAATGAAAACAACAAAAAAATTTATTCTAATAGTTTTATATTAAAATTTTATAATATACGTATGTCACAATTTGGTCCACTAAAAAATACATTTGAACAATCACATGTATAATTATTCAGAGCATTAGTACATGATCCACCATGTTGACATGGTGATGATAAACATTCATCAATTTCTTGATCACAATAAGTTCCTGTATATCCTGGTGAACAAATACAAAGTTCTCGTCCAACATTTAAGTAACATGTCGCATTATTTAAACATGAATTATTTGTTGAACATCGATCTATATAAATAAATTTTAGAAAATTTAAAAAGTCTTGAAATTAATATATATATTAACCTTGATATTCACAAATAAAATGCGATAATTTGCTATTCATATCATCAACTACTTGATATGTTTTCACAGTATTACTATAAACGATTCGATAATTTGATGCATTACCATCAATTAATTGATCACTTGCATTAAAATACCATGATATTGCTTGATTTGACCAATTCCATGATGATGATGCAGCAACACCATCCGTCCAAAATTGACTTTCAATACCCCAAGCTATTATTTAATATAAAAACAAATAAAAATGTCATTGATTAAATTTATAAGAAAAAAAACCTTTCATCCAATAAACTAATGATGTTGTTTCAACAACCGATTCAAATGCAACAAGATGAGTAGTATAGCCTGTTCTATTGGTCAAGTTTGCACTTGTATCATTAATACAATATTGCCGTGCATCAGACCATGTTAAATTAGTTCCATTATTCATTTTATAACATCCATTTAATATTGAATTATATGATGATGGACAAACAATTGTTTCACCCATATTAAATAGATTGAATAATAAAACATATTGAATTATTATAAAAGACTAAACAGATAAAAAATTTATAATATTTAATTATATAAATAACTTACTAAGAATAACATTTCTTTTATAATGTAAACTTAATTTAATAATTACAAGATAAATCGAATAGAACCAAACGGAGAAAAAAGACTAGTGGTGGTGATGGTGATGAAGAAGAATAAAAAGCAGAATCAATAGTTAGTCGGTGTGTCGATGTCCCTTGTCGATGACGTGTGTATGTGTGCACGTTCCAAGACCGAATGAAAATGAATAATAAAATAGAAGACAAATTGTGTATATATTTTTTTTTCTTTCTCTATTTTTTTCACACTTGAGCACAAGAATATGATGAAATAGAACAAATGAGTTTTCCGTCATTTATTTCTTTCTTTTTTTTTTATATATATTATTGCCCATTGATTCTATTTGTCTGCGTGCTATTGGTACCGAGTAGAAAGAAAAAATAGCAAAGAATATTTTCTTAATTTTTTTTCAATTATATATCGTTTAAGCAAATAAGAAAAAGAAAAAAAAAGTGCTATTCAAATAGTACTTGTTTTTTTTTGCTAATAGTTCTATTAGACGTTGATGAAGTAATATTTTAAAATTTTATATAAAAGGTTTTCTTTTCTTTTATGAACATTATACTCTTGAAATGATAGTTGAATATTGACAGTATGCAAAAACAAAAAAAAAACATTGATATATCATCAAGGAAATGTAAATTTTCCAAAAAAGAAACTACGTGAATTGTTTTTTTACCGAGAAAAGAAAACGATAATTTACATTTAAATAATGCACTTTTCTTTTTCTAAATATATAATATTATTAATGATGAATTTTATTAAAGCAAGTAAAATAAATAATTAATAAATAAAATCTCTATTGTTGTTTAATTTCGATAGTAATGGAAAAAATTATTATCGATTATTTGAAATTTCAATATATATATACACGGGTGATATGCAAATAATTATTTACAGTCATTCCTTCTTTTTTCAAATGAAATTAAGAAATGAAAGTCTTTTAAGCTGGCAAAATTGAGTCTGAATATAATTTCTAATTCAGATCATGAATAGTAATAGGTTCCGAACTTTTTTCATATCCAAAAACATGTATTGTAACATCATTCAAAACTGAGAAATGTTAAAGTAAAGAATAATTTTCTTTGTTAAATATTTACATAAGAAATAAACCTTTACTATGAGATCGGTATTACTGATAACCGTGAGAATATCAGACAGCTTGGTTGTTCAATTGATAAAAATAAAAACTTGATTCTATTCATGTATATATTCCTACGTATTTCATCGTAGGCATTTTTTTGAGTAAGATACAATTCAAAGATTTCGACATGCTTCAAATACAATGTATGTATTTTGTTTTAAACGATTGAAAGAATTTATGATATTGAGCTATAACCAAATTGAGAAGAACTTTTTAAGAATATTAAAAACAGACTAACCTATCTATCTTGATGAAGACAAATAGAATTAGCTCTTGTCAACTTTGCGTTTCAGCAATCAATTGTGTTGTTTATTAATATGGAAATACTCATCAGGATTGTGCATTATAAAAAAAGTTTTAAATTTTAACACCTTCAAGTACAAAAAATGAATATAGACGAATTTAAAAGATAAACAACAAAGACTGAGAAAATCAAACATCTGAGGAAATCAAAAATTCAAAAAAAAATACGATAAAAGATTATGAATAGGAAAACAAGTAAACAAATAAAAATATAATAATGAAACAATATTATTAAAATCAGAGCAGGTAAAAAATCAATTAGCAAGATCAGCAAAAAAAGAAATGGAATGGGTGAGGGTGACGGCGTGGGTGTGGGTGGAATCTCTAGTCGTTCATCACCTACATTCATCACCCACATCCACCCTCTTCCGATCAGCCTCACCCACATCCATCCACATTGAATACCAAAATACCTTATTTGAACTACACCCGAAACACAATTCTTTTCTCTTATGTGCAAATTCGCTCCTACCGTGGTGA